TCCAACTTAACTATTCAAAGTCTAAGAAACAACTGAATCCTATTTCTTGAACAAATTACAACAGCAGATAATTTACACTTTCTTCTATGAAATAATATATATTTACGAACAAACAAACCTATATAAGGTCATCAACCAATTTGGTTCACACAATCTTCTCTTCTAATCAAAATTACAATATTAACACAATCTGGCCTTATTTAAATCTTCTTTCTAAAAACTCCTTTATCAACTTAATAGATATTCTTTTCTTTTCTTCAACCCATCTTTTTCTTTACAAAATCTTCTACAATATCAATCAACAAATTTTTCTCTCACAACAAATTCATTTCCAACAAACCAATTTCTATCAACCTCTTTATCACTCATCTGGATTTACTTTAATTACTTCTACTTCACTTCCAATAACTTCAAACTTTCAATCTATTAGCATTCCATACAACCAAATTAAAATTACTAAAAACTTATTACAAATTGACTTCAATGAAATCCTTTCATTTATCCATATTAACAATCACACTTCTTCCTAATTCTTACCCTTTTCTTATCCTTCAATAAACTTAATTTCAACTTATTCAACAAACTGTTAAATCAACTTTATATAAAAATTAATTAATCAAACTTTATTCCTCAATCAAAAATTTTAACTTAGACAATTTAATCTTCTATATTGATGGTTCTATCAAAGACTGTTAAACACCAAATATTAAATCAGGCATAGGTTGGATTTGTGAAACAAATACTAATATAAACTTTAATGCAAGCACAAAACCATATGCTGATACTAATTGCACTGAACTTGAAGCAGTTTTATCACTTCTTTTAGTTATAATATTAAGCATTACCATTACAATTCATCTCAACAACTAAACAGCAATTAAAAACTTGCTACACATTTCCTCTTTAAAACAATTACATATTAAAAATTGGGATATTATTTCTTTTATCAATTATCTCAAAACTTTTAAAAACCTTAACATACAATTTTCAAAAATCAAATTATATGCAAATTCATTTTATAACCAAGCAAACTCCCTATCAAAATAAGGAACTTCCAAACCCATCCTTGAACTATCATTGCCAAATACTCAAACTTACTTCCTATGAAATAATCATCTTATATCATTCAAAATTTATAACTTTATCAAAAATACTATTACAATTCAAGAACTTTCTTTCTGGTCTATACTTAAACACTTTCAAAATACCTCAAAACCTGACTGGGTTCTCAACTTTCAAATAATTAAATTCATGGAACATGACATTCAAAAATACTTCTTTTATATTAAAATCCTTACAAATAATCTGCCCATTATAGAAAATCTTAATATATGTTATCCTTATCTCTATATAACAATAACATGTTCCTAATATACAAACCTCGAAAACACACTTCATCTTTTCCTCTGTGCAGGCAATAATATTAATATAAACTAAGCAATCCTTAATACAATCCAATTAACACTTACTTTATTTCAAATATCTAATGATCTAACACCCTCTATTTTTAATATTATCTCAAACTTTACAGCCAATCACATTAATCCTAATTACCAATCTATCTTATATGCCATATCTGGCACTTTCTCTATAACTATCTACAATAATGTCAAAGTTTTTTTAAATAAACAAACAAACATTTTTTTGATTAATTTAGCCAACAATCTTCTCACTTAATACTATCAAGACCTATGGTTTACATGCAACATATCTCAACATCAATGGGAACTTACTTGAAACATAACTACTAAAACTAAATGTACAAAAATTCACTTCCTAACAATATTTTCTTATACTAACAACCTTCCAAAAACTACACAAACTCCTAATACTATAGTAGTATTTAATAAATGGAACTTACAAAGTTTTACTCTAACCACATGCTTTATATAATATCTTGATTCTCATCTAAGGTTTTCTCCAACCTATCTTAGCTAGAAAATAATTTGAAACAATTATCTATAATACTTATTAGGAAATAGGAGATATAATGTCACATTGGGTGTCTATTATTTTAGCAACACAAATGTAGTTTAGAAATCTTTATTTTAGGAATTTTTTTCTGTAATTAAATTTCTTATTGTATTTTAAAGTTTCTACTATGATATTATATAAATAAAAAAAAAAATAATAATAGAAATGATGTGACTATATATCTAGATTAAGTTTAATTCATTTTTGAGCATTATATCAACTACTTAGAAGAGTTAACAAAACATAATCTTATATATGTCTGCTGGTATAAAAAAATACAAAATAAAAACTAAAATATTTTAATATCAGCAAAAATGCTAAATTATGTAATTTGGAATTATAAAATAAAGATTTTTCAATATAGATCATAATTGCATAATTCCTATATATAATAAATATAGCAGACATTTAATTTGATTGGCTCATAAAACTCTGTGTTACACAATATAAAAAAAAAATTTAAAGTAAGCCTTACTATAAAAACCATATTGTTAATTAGTAACTTATAGTTTTATATAGTAAAATTTTTTTAAAAAAAACTTTTTTTGTATTTTTTAACTCTTAATACATCTTTTGTCAAACATGATTAGTATAGATTAGTATTACTAAAAACTTTGCTTAAAAGAGAATTTATTTTTACATTTGTGATAAGTAAGTTCTAAATTCAAAAACATAGTTTAATAGTTAATAAAAAATTATATTATGCATAAAGTTCAAATTTGAAAAACTTTATATATACTATTTTAATATATTATTTCAATATGTTATTTTAATGAATAAGTTTATATTAATATGTATATCTTTATGTATTGCTTAATATTAGAGATAAATCATTAAATAGATCTGATATAATTTTGTTTTGATTAAATGATCTAATAATATATAAGTAATAATTAGTATTATCTAAACTAAAGGTTATAATTTATCTCATATAAGCTATAATGGTTTTGATAAAATAAGTTACTACTTAGATTATAATAAGTAAAAACCAAAGCTTTGATATTAGTTACTCACATATTAGATTTTGTAATTTATTTGATTAGTTAATGATCATATTTATTGTTTACATTTATTACCCAATTAAATCAAAAGTCCATCATGCTTACATTACGTACTAGGTAGATTTATAACTGGTACTTATACTGTTGGTTCAAAAATGACTCATGATTATATGTCTATAATTCTGTTAAATAGAAAATATAATAAATAATTATTTAATATATAATTTATTATATACAATTTAATTATCCAATTTTAAAATGTAATATATTGCTATTTTAAATTTAAATATGATTGAAAACTGATATTTTATGCATATTGATATTTTTAAGAATTATACATACATATCTGATAGCAATACTTTATCATTACACAATATTATTTAAATTTATTTATATAAAATAGCTATATTTAAATAACATACTATATATATAAATAATAATATTGAATAGCCGATACCCGTTTCATTAAAATACTATCTAATTTTGGCAAAACATTTACTTGGTCAATATTTACTAATACTTTCAGTTCGAAAGCTAAATTTTGGTCCAATTTCGACTATATATATATGACTTACAGCAGCTACAGATATTTTGATAAAGTATCAATATTATTTATAGAAATATCAGACAGCTGATATTTTGTTCAATATTTTGGTATTCGATCTGTGCCAGTTTTGACTTTCGCTGGGTTTAGTTTCGACTTTCACCATTTACCAAAAATAGTTTGCCTAACAACACTAGGTCATTATAAAGACAAATTTTCTAATGCATTTTTAAATGCATGTTTTCAAAAGTCTGGTTTCTACAAGTCGTATTTAGAGAAGTCTAACTGTATTTGTAGGGATACATCAGCCCGTGATTTTTTTAGGAACATAGTTTATAATTATCTAGGTGTATAATTTAAACCCAGTATGATATATTTATTAATTTCTTTCCCTAAATCTGTTATTTTAAGGTGACGTCTTTACATGCAGGTTTTATTTTTAATAAAGTCAAATTATTACACATAACAAGCAAAATAATAATTAGAGTTCTTTAAAAAAAATTTTTCAAGCTAAAATTTATTGATGGTCTCAACTAGAGATGGGCACTATGCACATGTCATACCCTACCATACTGCATGGTGCATGTAATTTTCACACATGCATAATATGCATGGTTAAGTAACGTAACAATTATTATTATCATTATAAGCAGTACATATTTCTTTATTGTTATATAAAAAAAGCATTAAATGCACAATTTACATTTATTCTTTTTCTATTCACTATATGACCCTTCGCTATCTATTTCTTCATCACTAATTTCATCACTATCGACTCTTCACTATCAATCCCTTCATTATTAACTATTAATGCTTCTTCATCATCTTCGCCTCAATCATTATCTATTGGATTTAATAAAACATCATTATTTTGATTTAAGTTTTGTTGTGCCAACCTACTATTAAATCATGCTTTAGCATTTATCATATCAGGAAATTCTTGTCATGGGAAGTTAAGTTTATAATTACTATAAATATAAACCAACTTTAATACTCGCTTATTAGTTAATTGTGATCTTTTATCATTATGGATATGAGAGAAAGCAGACCAATTACGCTCTGAGGTTGCTGATGAAGAGGGAATTGAAAGAATCCTAATTGCAATTTCACATAATTCAGGTGCTGAATTCTCAAAATTTAATTTCCACCATGCAATCGAATCAACTTTGCTAACAGTTTCCCATGTCAACCAAAGATCAAATACACCAGTTTTAGTTTTATATTCAGTTATCTGCTGCCAAATTATGTTTGCATTATTTGGATAATACCGTTGAATGAACTGTGATATTACTGATATGCCATTTGTTGGAAGTTTTTGTCCACAATATTGAAGATCCAAAAAATGTGCTACTGACATAACCAGGTGATACATTTTTTTCCACTGATCTTGTAAAATGTTTTTAATTTCACAATTCACTACTAAAAATATTTTATATTAATATAGTAGATAGTTAAAATTATTGATTTATAATATTACTTACTATAGTATTCTAGTTGCTCATGATACCAGAAATAAAATTGTGCCAGTCGTGGTGTATCAGACTCGAATAACAATATACTGGTAATAAATCTATCCAATGTTACAAGAAGCTTTTCAGCATCTTTCCCAAAACTATCATCTTCAATAATCATATAAATTGATTTTGGTAATTCCTTATTATTATTATATGCCATTTCTGTAATAGCTAATTTAAGAGCAAGCTTATTCTGTAAAACAGAATTAAGACATGTTGCTGCGGACCCTCATCTTGTTTTAACAGGATATTTTAATGAAATTCACTGTTGATATGTTACCAATTGGTGACGTTTTAAAATAGCTGCTGGAATCTGATGTGAGCGAAAATATGAAACAATTGCATGGCCGTTTTTTAAAATATTAGCATTCCATGATATCTTCATAATACTGCCAATTAAAAGGTCTAAACTATGGGCTATGCAACCCAAAAATATAATATTAGGATATTTTAATTCTAGTATATGCCATGCTTTTTTTATTACGGAAACATTATTCGTTACTATAGCAGAAATTTTGGTTAAACCAATTTCAATTATTGCTTTTTCTAAATTTTCAGCAATAGCCTCTCCAGTT